CCATTTTCAATTGTTCTATGCGACTGCAAGCTTCTAAACCATGCGGTCGCATGGTTCATTCCCGACACAAAAATTCCGATTTCCGAATTTAAGTCAATTGCCCACGGAAACAACTATAAATACATATTTTAAAATCCTAGAACACAACCATAACGTACAGAACTCCTCCAAACTCCATTTTTCATTATTTCTCTTAGATTCATGAATTGTAACTAAACTTTTATACTTGGTCAAAGGAAACAGAAGCCTTGGAACCACATATTGTGAGATTTAAATAGTTTTTCTTATTGTTTAATTCTTATTTTGCGTATTGAATATTTTTCTGCACTTATTTTCATGATTGTTATGTTTAATTGCTAGGAGGCCTACTAATTTATTATTCATTGCAATCTATAGCTAAGTTAAATATCAAATCCGTAATAGTTTGATTCCTTTAACTTGTGAAGCACTAGGATTTGATGATTTTCTATGATAGAGGTTTTTGAATCTTAAGAAGAATGTTTAAATAGATTNCTGTGATAGAGGTTATTGAATCTTAAGAAGAATGTTTAAATAGATTGAATGCAACCGCTGGTGTTTGTGTTATCTAGTTCATCGATTTCTCTATTGTGTAAAACTGTTATTAAATTGAATCTTGAGCGCTGGTTTGAGGTTATTTAATAATTATGGTTAATTAGAATGCTGGTTTCTGACTAACTAAATTAAGGAGAAATAGGAATCAATTGCAACGATGAATATTCAAAATATGAATTGAATTATCATTGCATCTTTGATCAATCGTGGATTTCTGACGGTGGATGTGGACTTAGACCATTGTTATCTTTTGATTGTTTTCGTTAATTTAATTTTCATTATTATTAATTGTGTTATTTACAATTATTTGCACACAAAAAACCCCCCACAATCATTGTACGAAGTATAATATATTGAATTATACACTCTTCGTGGGATCGACCCTTACTTTCACTACTACATTAGTTTTAGAGGTTAAGAAATTACTTTTGGGTGCCTGCCACAGCACATATCAGTAACACAATGTGTTAGCCGTACAAATAGTGATTTTATAATAAAAGAGAACATACGGCAAGACTATATGTTCCTAGTGTAGAAAATATTGTTATCAAATGAAAAAAATGAAATATTGATTTTAAATAAAAATGATTTTTAAAAAAAAAAAAGTTATAAAAGAAAGTAACACCAGGTAACACAACATGTTATATGTATAAAAGAATGATTTTTTAACAAAAAATAACATACAGTAACATATATTACCCTAAAATGTTGTTTTTTAATGATAAAAATAAAAGATCTTAATGTTACTCAACAAATAAAGCATATGTTAACTAACATGTCTCTAGTAAAAATTATTATTTAAATATTACTTTTAATTAAAAATAAGCATTTTTTAAAATGTTGTAAAAGAAGGCATTTAAAAAAAAAAGGGACAAGAAGTAGGGTGTTTGTGAATTTATCC